GTGTTTGATTAAATCTGTACGACTGCTGTCTCTTATACACATCTAGATGTGTATAAGAGACAGGACCAGCACGGCTGAAATTACTTCCTCAGCTGAATACCGTTTTTTCGGCATATCTGATTTTCAAACTGAAATTACTCTAACTTTTCAAAAAACAACCCATAGCAAAACTGGCATCAAAATGTTCAGAATTTTATTAGCTTTCTAACCGATAAAAAATATATGTGGGTTAGGCTTGCTACAGCCGTTTAGCGGTCGATTTGTAGGAGACGTTTACCCGTTCGCATTTATGCGAAAACGGCACTGGCTGTACAGTGAGCCTATTCGCATTTATGCGAAATCGGCACTCACACCAGAGGGATCGTGTTCGCATTTATGCGAAGATGGCAGTGAAAGGGTTAAACGGAATAAATTTATGCCTAAACTAAAACATAAACATTTGAAAAAGATTATGAAAATGACTTTTAATACCTTAATCATTATCATCACCATCATCGTTCTCCATCATCATTCATCATTTACTGTACTGTTTCTCATAGACCATGCAAAATTATTAAATAAGTACCTTGCATTTATCATTGACAGTTATTATCTAATTATTTAATCATATTGATAATAAAAATTGTTATATAATTATTATTATTACATATAACATATTATTTACAATTTATTGTTAAATAATAATTGAATAATAAATTCTCATATTCTTCATATTCAGCCAATTCATATTCTTGACAGCAATTTGACCTCTGAAAGGTCATTGTTTGTCAAAAAACCTGGGCCTAAGACGACTGAAAAGCGGAGTTTCCTTCTTTTGTTCTGCCGGGTAAAATCAATTACTTTAGGCGACGTTTGTAGACTAACCAACACGTACCAACTCCGCATGTCGCGCTAGCCTTATCCTACTCTAGGCCTAGACTAGCTAGGATGGTATAGGCCTAGCCTTGAAGGGACGAAGGTCCCAATGAAAAACAACGTTGCTCCTTGATAGCTAGCATTGTCTATTTAACATCACAATAGTTCGTTATTAGACCTATAGTTGTTTTTTGAATTGTACTCCACAAATCTCAGTCGATACCTCGCACAACTCAAGTAACGTCTCATATCTATTGTTTTGACGTCATGGCTTGCTGGCTCACACTTGCGATGTCTCGCACTTGTGATCAAATAACACGCTGGCTCGCACTTTAGCAACACTCTTTGGCAGTCAACTCGCCCCTAGAAAACCCGCCCTTGGAAACTTGCCCCATAAAAAAATGTACACTTCCTAGACCATGCAGTCTTCAAAATAAAAATTGTAAACTTTAGTAATCAATTACATTTTCCACATACATAGAAATTTTTGAAACTTTATTAAAAAAAAACCTAAACCATAATTCACCACTATAGACACTTTTTGACAAAAATGAAAAATTACGACTTTGTTACCCACTGAGAAGTGTTCTAATATAGAAAATGGGTCGTGTCTCGTATTATTTGTTATATTTTTATTCAATATTTTCATGTGACTCGCATAAATAATTTTGTTCGAAGAACATTTATGTGCAGTTGTACTTTGCAGCACTTCACTTGCAATTTGCAATTTCTAGTTTACTTGGCCTAAATTGAGTACTGTACTCTGTTAGTATTTAATTAATGATACAGATAGAATGCATGAAATGCATATGGAAAGAATTCAATGATGTCATAACAATGTGGTTTTGGCAACCACAGTGACAGTACTGTACTACAAACAACTGTAGATTGAACTGTATTTTGTATTATTTAATCGAATACCTAGTCAAGCGTATCATTCTAGTAAATTCCTTGGCATATAAATGAACATTGATGGTGTGTCACATGTTCAGTTGTTGGCACTACTTCAATAAATTCCCAGCCTTGGATTGAATTGTAGCATAGGATTGTATTAATTCATCATTTTACCTTTTATTAATCCAATAATAATTTCATTTTTCATTTCAACAAAAATATTTCTATTTTAAAAAAATAAAATACTCATTGAAAGTTATTATATTCTATATTCACTGGAGTATAGTAGATGTTTTATTAATTAAAATAATATAATATTATGTACACCCCTGCTATTAAAATGGTTTGGCTTGAAAATCATCACATGAAGATCATGTATAGTAGTGATGATGCATTGACAGAGATAACTGCAATAGAAAGGTCATTTGTTGTACTCCAGGCCTGCATTTGTTGGAAGGTAAGCACAGAAGTGTTGAGGTTTTTTTAATGCTCAAATAAGTAATAGTGACTGAATTTTGCATATATTGATACCATTATTTCATTATTCTATTTAGAACCGAGAGTACTTCACTTCTTCAGCAGTAAGTGAAATTTCCTGTTCTTTGTTTTTTGTACATAAAAAAAAAATTATGGGAAATCCCAGTCTAGGCCCAATAGCTCACAAGGAACATTGCAGATTACTTAACATGTATTTTCCAAAATCTATTTTAATTTCTGTGTAGAGTATCACTAGGATTTGTTTTGTTTTTTAAATCTTAAATGGCACATACTTGGAGGAGGTGCTATGATGGGTACTACAGTACATACTGTAGGACTGAGCTACAGTTTTTGAAACAACATGGGAAAATCATTGCCTTTAGGATATTGGTATACTACTACTATTCAGTTTATTAAGATAAGAATGACTTTACGAAGGTCATCTGGTTTCAGGATGAATAATGTTTCTAGTTGGTATGTATTGTTTGTTTCCTTTTGAATACTGTATATTGGCAAGTAGTTTTCAATGAATATACATAAATATAATAACAAAACAAATCCTTTAAAAATTTGACTAAAAAAATCGCCTTCACATTAAACAATCACTTTCACTTGACAGTTTTAAGTAAAACTATTTTGGACGGTCCCACGAGCAACGACTATTGGAAGGGTGCCTTGTAAATGGAACGATTGATTGATTGTTCGTTTTTTTTATTTTTTTACATTTAATGATTTATTTTCCAAAGAAAATTTATGCCCCATATAGGCCTTAGACCCCGTTGTTGAGGCCCAACAGCTCATCAGCCCCAGGCTCTTGGCAGCCCTTTGGATCAAACTCACACTGGGATTGGAAGACAAATTAAAATATCCTTCATCTTAACCACCACTAAGCTAAAAATTAACTCTAGGAACTATAATTGTTTTTCTATGCTCACAAACTCAAAATGTTTCCAAATATGCAAGTCACCATTAGTCTTAGGATCTGTGAATTGAGATGGATACATCAAGTGAGGGACTTTAAATTTTATATGCCAAATATTTTTATAGCTTTTAAGATGTTTTCTTAACCATTTTAATTGTCGTTTACTATTTTACTGTTTATTGCCAAATAAATTCAATCAATCAATCGAATCAGTCTTGAATAAAAATTCATCATCTATGAAACCTATGAATGTCAAGTGTCTGCCTTGAGCTTTGTCAACAGAAGGTGCCTCATGGAGATTTCTATCATGCTCCTTTCCCAGTGCCTTATCTTTATATAATATTATTAGAAGTGATTTGGCACTATTGTTTTTTTTTATTGTATTTATTGCTACTTTGGTAGCCTTCCTTGCAACACCGGAACACTTGATTAAAATAAATTCAAAGCAGATTTTTGATATTGCCCTCCATTTCTAAACCATGAAAACGTTGTATTTGTTCAATGGTGTCATTAAGATGATATTTTAGAACCCTCCAGCAAAATACTTGAAGAACTCATGCTGACACAAAACCATGAGCTGAAATTGATATCGGCACTTTTGGTACAGTACTTGATTTAAGAGGCCTACTGCTCGCTGGAAATATAATACTGATACCTGCTTTAATTGGGTTTAAATAGCCAAATATATGAATATAATTGGAAAGCTTAATTTAATTATTCTTGTATTGTAATTGATATTGACTGCTAATTAACCCAAGTAATATTCCTCTCACAATATAAATGAAACAAATGAGTAGGTAGCACTTTTTTTTCTCACAATATAGTATACCTTATTAAGTATTATTACTCCCAAGTTAAAGTATAAGTGATCCAATTATATTTGGTGATTTTGAATAATTTAGATAAATAAAATATTAGATATAACTGTATGGGAATGGAAACTTAAAGGTCCAGAATTTAAACTTCAGGTCAGAAAGTGTTTCAAACTCCAGGTATAAAATGTAGGCCAATACATGCAATTGTGTTGGCTTTCATTCAGTATTTAAACTCTGTTATTGTAGGTCATTCTATGTAGGGTAATGCATTGAAATGCCTGTTGTCTGTGGTTTTTGACAGATTATAGATCGCTCAATTCGTTCTAAACTGAACATTCTTTTGTTAACAATAAATTAGTTTTGCTTTTTTTTTTTTTTTTTTTTGTAATTTTAAGAGGTTTATTTGGGATTTTTCTAATGTACAGTATTCTATAGTGTCAAAAATGTGACATTGATTATTCGTTAAGAAAATGTTATTCACAATTTGATAGGCCACAATTATTACTATGGAAGAAATATCTGCTTTCAGTGGGTGGCCCAAATTTTTATGCAGTAAAGTAAGTTTACATCATTGTTTTGTAATACTCTACATGAACTTTGGTACAGGCATGTTTCAGCTTATACCCGATTCACACGTACAAAAATCTTACCAAATGTAACA